CGTAAGGTTACTACCCGCAGGTTACGCGAGTTTTTGGATTGTGGAGCGACCGAGTCGCAGCTATTCCGCCCATAACAGTACGTACGTACGCACGTACATACGTATGTATGTACGTACTCACGTGCGTACGTATGTACCCCACTTACCTTATATGCGGTAAAGTCGTGTTACATAGTCTGTTTATATAGACCTTCACAAATAAGTTATGAATTAATTAAAATTGGTTTGTTTAATTGCCAGTTATAAACATGACTAACCAAATAAACGTATTTATTGATTCTAGCCTATTCGGAGTATAGCGATAAATTCCGGTAGATGATTAAAGCCGTACCTATAAGAAAAATTTCAATTCACTCATTTTTATTTTCTACAAATAAAATTACCAAAAATACTCACATTATGTCTAATTTGGTATTTTTGATAGCTTGACATAAATTTGATAAGTAGCGCTGGGGCTTCTTTTTTTTTTTAAAAAAAAAAAAAAAGTGGGCTTTTCCTTGGTTATTATTTAATAGCAATTATTAACATTGCAGTGAGTAATTTAACATTTGCTATTATATAAATTTTTGACAAATCTCTAGATTACGACAGTGAGAATATGATTAGTAGATGTGTTATGGCTTTTCCAGATGATAATTTTTTGTGTTTCAATATACAGTATATGGGAGGGCGAAAGTTACGTATTGTTTGGAGATATGTATGGTTATACAATTGGACAATTGTATGAACGTTGCGACTAGTATTCCCGACACAAGTTAAAGTGATATTCAATAGGGATTACCCGATAGTTTCCAAATTGGTATCTTATTGCTTATATTGCGATATGGAGTTCAATAGGTTTGTGTATCTAAAATTTACCCAATTTGTTAAATTTTACAATAATCAGGTAGCCAATCCGTAAACAATAGGATAAATGGGTAACACTATTTATTATTTCTATTTAATAGTATTTTACCTATGCGGCCTGAATCTTTCTAAAATCCGAAGCTTTTTTACCTTTTGAGTTCAGTTTCGCCCAAAATCCGAAAATGGATGAAACTTCCGAAACCTCCGAAAGTGGGCGAAATTGCCCAAACATCCGAAACATTCTAAGCTAATTTAAGCGCAACTAAGGGAAAACTATAGGTTTCAGCAATTGCCATGTTTCTCTGTTTTGGATGGTACGTTCAGTTTCGGCAGCTTCCAGTTTCTCCGAAAATAGTTTCAGTTTAGGATGTAACACAAGTTGCACGTAGGCTCACTCATACAGTACGTCATTAATTTATATTAAGGAAACGAAATACATACGTATCCGAAAAATCATAAATATCAGGTATTTCAAGAATAACAAGTATACAGTATATAAAGTATCATATATTAAAATTTCAGGCATTTTATCTAGCGATAATAACATTAAACAATTCGATATAGTATTGAGCATCACAATTACCAATTCTACAGTTCAATTCAAAAATTTAACAAATACGAACTAAATTTGAATTTATTTAATGTAACTTATAAAACAATTTTATATGATTTTAGTTTTGAAAAAGAAAATAATGCAAGTAAAATTACAGTGTAGATGTTTTTTTCTAAATGTTTTTTTTTAAAATGTTTTTTTCTGCATGTTGTATTGTAAAACCCTATAAACTATAAATAAAAGAAGGATGTTTATCTCCAAATTTCATAGCCTCTTCTTCACCCATACCTATATTCGATCTTTTTTCAAACTTTTTTGCATTTTCTCTAGCCAGTAAATTAAATTTAATTATACATGTAATAAAAGCAATGACCAAAAGTGAAAATGAAATAATATGACCAAGTCTATAAGATGGAGCACCATGATGTGTTTTGTCATGTAAAGAGTCATGTGAAGAGTCATGTAAAGTGTCACGTGTTTCGGTAATTTCAACATTATTCAGATTATAAAACTGAGTGCTTATTCCTGCACCTATATTACCCGCGGCTATCATCATAGCATCGCCTAGGGCACATTTCGTTTCACCGACTAGATTATTGATTAACCTTTTTATAATTTTTATAATAAATTATTATTTTAAAGAAATATTTAATGTTATAAAATCTAAAATTATATAAAGTAAAAACTTACCACGTAATTGATGTAGGAATACACGGAAATAAACCTATCCCAATAATACAAGCACCAATATATTTGACTAAAAAAAAAAACAAAATATTAATTACTCATGAGTTATAAAAACAGTAAAATTAAATACTATATAATACTATATATATAACATAAAATTTACCAGTTATACTAGTATTCTCGGCAATGAGAAACGCGTAACCTATAATTGAAACTATCAAACAACACATTATATATGGACCACGAACTCCGGTGCGATCAGAAGATATGGCTATAAGAAGCGAAGAACTACATCCCAGAATAAATGGAGGAGTGGCAAGAAGTTGGGAAACAACTAATAAAACAATAAATAAGTAGATTTTGAAATCAAATTATTGATTGTTAATTAATGATAAGAAGGAAAGCCTGAAGATAGAAAAATAGACATTACCAGCACTAAATCCCAAGCTATTTACAATTGATGAAATATAAAATGAGAAGGAATATAACGGAGCATTGATACAAAAGTATTGTAACATGGCCATATATATTTTCTAACAGAAACATAATAATGATATTTTAAATTGTCAATAAAGTCAATAAAGTACAATGCGGTACAGTGCAGTGAATTGATTAAATATTTTATAACATTACCCAATCTTTAAAAGCGTCCAAAATTTGATGAATTTCACTATAAGATTCATGAGCATGTGAAGGTTCATCGTTTAAACGTTCGACGGCCAACTTTCGTTCTTCATTTGTAAGCCAAGAGGCAGTTTCTGGACTGTCTGGGATTAAATAGTAAGAGAACAATGCAACAGCGCAAGTAAACGAACCATCAATGATGAATACCTAAAATTTTAAAAAAATGTATATTTTTAAAAAAGTCGAAATTATTATGAATTGAACAAGAATTAAACGTACTGTACATACCCATTGCCAACCATTTAATCCATTTACTTTATGTAAAAGAGTCGAGGCAGAAAACGACATTAGGCCGCTAAATGCGCCAGCGATTGTAGCAGCCGAGCAAAATAAACTAATTCGATAATTTTCCTCGGAATTCTTATACCATTTTGTAATGTAAAATATGACGCCTGGAAAAAACCCAGCTTCAAACACGCCTAATAAAAATCTTAATACCATTATATGAACAAAATCTTTGGCCTAAAAAATAAAAGTCAAAAACATTTGGAAATTTTGTAGAGTGATTTAAAGGATAATTAACTATTAAATACTTACTGCTGCGGTGCATATTACTACTATACCACATGCAAGCATAATAGTTGGAACTATAAAAAAAGAATTCAGTAAAACAACAATAAACATTAATTAATAAATAATAAATAATAATTAATAATTAATAATTAATAATTAATAATTAATAATTAATAATTAATAATTAATAATTAATAAAGAAAACTAACTCCAAATTGAAGGTCTGGTATTCATTAATATGATATTCGACGGTACTTCAAATAATACATAAGCTCTGCAAATTTAAATAGCCAAAAATAAAATAAGAAAATATAAAAATTAATAAATAAATAAAATAAATGAAATTCACTTATAAAAAATGACGTACACAAAGAATGAACTTAAAACCAAGTTATATTTGTTTGAAGTTAAATGAAGATCTTCTTCTATGTGTTCCAATTTTGCATTTCCAATATTAAGCCTAAGAATATTATTTATATAAAATAATTAATATATTATTGCATCATATCACTATATAAATACTGTATTTGATTCATCATAACACATACTTATCTATGAAACCTAATATATAAAAGATTGAAAATAACGGAATAATTCTTATGTCCATCTTTCTTAACAACTCGTGTTCTTCAATACTCATAGTTTTAGTTGGTTCACGTTTTTCAACCACAGTTTTGGGATTAACATTGTTTATATGATCATGTGTTGTATCAATTTCGGGATCATTGTTTATATGATCATGTGTTGCATCAATTTCGGGATCATTGTTCTCAATTATACTACTTAAATATCTTGACATGATTTTGAATTTAATACACAAGATTAAGATTGTTGAAATTAACGGGAGCGGAATTATCGTGAATTTATAAGAAATCTTGAAGATATACACATTTTGTCTTTAATAATCAATTCTATATCATTCATTTACTTGTACATACTTTAATTTACACTTTGCATGTACCTATTTTTAGGATATTACGGTACACTGTTCTTAATAAAATAAATACATGCACATATTTGATAAACTTTCTACGTTTTTGGTACATATATATATATATATATGTTCTTTATACACTGTTTTTTTCGCTAGACAAATGATAAAAATACATATGAATTTCTAAAATAAGATTTCTTAAAATAGCTAGCCTCTAAAAAGTGTAATCTAGACGTGTGATTATGTACTTTTATTCTTGATAGGCTTTTCTTAAAATAAACAAAAAGACATTGTATTGACAGAAATCTGTAAATTCGAGGACCATATACAGACGAGACAAATCGAATGCAAGTGTGTAGTAAGGAAATCCTACATCCAAAATTTCGACGGGCCAGGCCATAATACTGACATCACGCGACGTGACAATTAATATTTAAAGATTAATAATTACATTAACGATCATTGTCGGACTTTAAATTTTTAATTGTCACGTAAATGATGTCATATGGCCTGTCAATAACTGGCATATCTGGCGAAAGCAACCAATGAAATTCGCGAATTTATGATTCCCGTGCTGATCTCCAGTCAGTGTAACACTTAGTACAACAATCAAATTCTAATTTTATATTATTACAAATCATTTCTGTGCCACACCAAATCAATCATCATATTACATTAAATCAGTTTCTATATGTGAACATAACTAACAAAATTTTATTCATAATCCCATCGATTTGTATAATATTTAAGTTTTTTTATGTTATTTCATTACAATTGGTTTTATTCACACTGAACACTAAACTCAATTTATAAACAATAAAAAGTTAAATATAATAATAGTAAAACAGGTATCTACTTAAAAAATAACTCATTATTTTCTTTTTACAATATTCAAAATCTAGCTGCACATGTAAAGTCTTGGCATGCATTTTGCACGATTTAATAAGGTAATTTAAGATTTTTTTTATAATAAATGATTTATAATAAATGATTTATTATAAATTAAATTCGGCTAAATTCTTTGTAATGAAAAAAAAACAAACAATGCGAATGTATCAGTATACAATAGAAAAGGGCTTTGAGACGAATTTTTTATTTGTAAAATTTTAAATAGAAAATAGTGATAAAAAAATATGCGTACAGTACAAAATTGTACAAACTTTTATTATGCTAATGCAAGCTAGAAATTTTAATGCTATACTTAGAAAAATAATCCGGAAAAAATCTCAATTTTGACTAAAATGTCTAACCATTCTGCTGCAGGGACACGGAATTTGTGATTTAGTGTGATTTAAATTCGTTGTTAGCTATCAGTTACATAAAAATTACTATAAAGTAATTAGTAATTATGTGATTTGATGCAGTTTGTAAGAATTGCACTAAAAAACATCGCCCTTTTTTGCTGCGTATTGACCCAAATACATTTATGGATGACGCCTGCGGGCTTTCAAGTTTATTGCTATTTTTAAACTCAGTTCTGATCGGAACTTTATACATAAAAGTAAAGGGTTAATCCGGTATACAATAAATAATTGACATGAAAGCCTGAAATCCAATTTTCCTTTTACGTCTCCCAAACTTGAGTACTATAGTAATGCACAAAAAATTGTTCTGTGACTAATCCGATGATGACACCATCTAATAAAAAATAGAAGCATTATACCTAAATTTTTGTTCCGGAAACTTTTACATAAAAACAGAAAGTTGGTTTCTATAGCAAATTTATGAGTTTTTTACGATTTCTTTTTTTTTCATCATTATTTTTTTTTTTTTACTTCTGACTTGTATGTTACTCACTGATCTTAGGGATCCTACAAATTTTTACGTATGACTATGTTACTCTCCAAACTTTATTTTTTATGATACGGATAGTTAATAATTTATATTACGTATAACGAGATGTTATATAAATAGCTGTTATACGATAGGTGACTTTTCATATCTGAAAACCAGGTAATATTTTATGCTACGTAATCAGGAACGGAGTGTTATGTGCAGCATAACACGTAGTGTATGGTTTTACGGCATTTTTTTTTTTTTTTTTTTCTTTTTTTTATAAACCTGCTTGACGCAGGACGCAGGACGCAGGACGCAGGACGCAGGACGCAGGACGCAGGACGCAGGACGCAGGAAGCCGGAAGGCGTACAATCTTATTAACTCATTTTTATTAAAAGAGTCTTCTAAATTTGTAAGATCTTCCACATTTTTAAGCATTACATGGTTAATTAACTATAAATCGATACATTAACTATTTTTAGTTAATCATAATCACTAGCAACTAGATAGCTGCGCGACGCCATCGCGCAAAACTAGGAACGGAACTTAACTACTCAAGATTTGCTTAAATAACTTCCTTTTAAAAATTTAGATCGTATATAAATATAAAGTTTTTATACTTGCCATATATGTGTACATTATAGCACTGCCACTATTGTTCATGAGCAGGCCTACCGAATAATTGATTGTGGGGGCAATTAATTGCAATATTTCGAACTCAATTAATTGATTGATGGCGCAG